TGAAACTACTTGGAAATTGTTTCAATGCGATTTTCTATTCAATCGAATGTAAAAAACAATAATGCGCTTTAGAATTATTATACAATATCGATTTCTGACCCAAATGCAGAAAGAAAGCATTTCCATTTGATAGAAGAATTGAATGGAGTATGAATTCTTTTAAATCGAGGCAATTCTTTTGACCGCGCATGTGCATTTTCAGTCAAAGTGCAGGTTGTTGGCTACCTGCTTGTGAAATGAGACTAAGTAACTAAGTAAATACCTAAAGACCCATAAAATACACTATCGAGAAAATCCATTTGCATATATTTTCGCGCATAGGACTTTAGGCAGGTATGTGTAAACATGTATGGCTTGAGGTGTGGTAGGTGGACGGTATGTATAGACGTATCGATAGGAATAATTGACACTATTTATACGTAGAGGTAGCTCAATAAAATAAATCTGCCATTTTTTTTTTGAAAAACCGGATTTAAGAAAATTTGCTTTCAGTACAAGTACTGGTTGAATTCAAACAATTTTTACCTAGCTTACTTCACTCTGAAGATACATTCCAGATTTCCAAACTTTTTTGATTAAACCATGCTTAACTAAAGTGGAAAGAAATTACTTTTAATAATAATAATTTTTCGATAAGAACATTTAAAATATTATCGCTTTATAAATATTCATTACACAGGTCCTTTCTCACTCACTTTGAGTGAAATGCTTGCTTTGGCTATTATTACATCAAATTAGCGGAGGTGGCGAACTTCGATTCGTTACCATTTAATGCTTCAGATAAATCTAGAGTGATATTGTATTAAATTCTTTTCGTTTTTTTAATATTTGTTGGTTACCTTGAGGAAAATTTAAGTTATTTAAGTTTTATTTCGGAGGATGAAATGGGGTCGTCAAATGTAAAATTCGTTGCTATTTAGCAATTACACAACTTGGGGTTTATTTTAATGTATTCAAAGATGGAAGCGCAATAAATTGGATAAATTTAAAATGTGTATATATGAAATGTTATTTATCTTGATCGTAAGATAGCTGTTGGCGGGCTCAGCGTGAACATAGAACTGAACTTTTGGTGTGTGGAAAATTCAAGTCATGTGCCCGATGAGTAGGCAACTCAGGAGCTTTTTAGTGGCGAAGGCTAGCACTGTATTTCTTCGGCTGAGAATGTCAGAGTTGCCACTTGAGCGATATTAGGCCAGAAATAGGATTAAAAACTCTGGCGCAGCTTAGAAGCTGTATACACTAGTGAAATGCGATGGGAGGATCAGCCTGCTGATCAGCATGGCCAATGACACATGTAGTCATGAGCGCCACAACGACCGTCTTTTCATAACATGTGCTCGTAATTTTCGATGGTATGAAAATTCGTTGGGAGAACATCAGAGGAAGGAACCGTATGCCATTCGTTATTAAGCATGCCAGAAAAATTTTTTTTTTAAATGCTGACATTAGGGGCACTCTGTCTTTGGTAAACTACAGAGATATCCTATTATAAGACTACGAACACCAATTAAATAGGCTTTATAAACGAGCATTTATTTATTATTTTATATTGCTACGAGTAGAACTGCCAAATTGTCGATAAGCTGATAATTGCCGGTGTTTCTCTTTTCTTATTCGTAAAAAGATACAATCAAAAGCGTTATACGTTCAACGATTCCGAGCATATTTTATTATTTCTTTTGAATTTTAAGGTTGTCAAATATCTCCCTTCCCCGCTTTTTTTGCTCTTCATTCAATGCTTTACAAAAAGTGTTACAGTGATCGGATTTAGTTAAAATATGCGCCGTGTTGTTCGATGATCTGTTTCCATCTAGACGGCAACTTCATAATACCTTCCTCGTAGAAGCCCCCTCCTTATTTGCGAAGAAATACAGCCACTTTTCACAAGCCTCTTTTGAGTTCAACTTCACATTACCAAGGGCATTCGCCATGGACAGGAACAGGTGGTAATCACTTGGCGCTACGTCCGGGCTATATGGTGGGTGCGATAAAATCTCTCATTCGAGCTCCCGTAGCTTCTGACGAGTCATCAACGAAGTGTGTGGTCTGGCGTAGTCCTGGTGGAACACTACACCCTTCCTGTTGGCCAATTCCGGACGCTTCTGGTCGATCACCTGCTTCAAGCGGTCCAGTTGTTCGCAGTAGATGGTAGAATTAAGCGTCTGGCTATATGGGAGCAGCTCATAGGGGATGATTCCCTTCCAATCCCACCAAACACACAGCAAAACCTTCCTGGCCGTCAATCCCGGCTTGGCCACTGTTTGGCCTTCGACCACGACCGTTTTCGCTTGATATTGTCGTATATGATCCATTTTTCGTCGCCAGTCACCATCCGATTCAAGAATGGGTCGAGTTCGTTCCGTTTCAGCAGCATATCGCAGGCGTTGATTCGGTCCAGAAGGTTTTTTTGCGTCAAATTATGAGGCACCCAGACGTAAAGCTTTTTTTTTGAATCCAGCCTTCTGCATATGGTTCAAAATGGTTTGGTGACTAACTCCCATCTCCTGGGCGATGTCACGAGATGCCATATGCCGGTCTAACTCGATGTATTCCATGATTTCATCGGTAAAAAACTTATTTGATTTATAAAAAGTAATTTTCCATCTTTTTTTTTTTTTTTTTTTTTTCTTTATTATTAATTTAATGTTAAAAAAATAAATGTCGTCACAGGTCTTCCGCCGGCTGGCTTATCCATGGTGTCATTTTCACCGGCTCTGAATCGTCGAAACCATTCCATAACGAAGGAAAACTTTAAAATAGCGCGAATTTCGGCGTTAGTGAACTCCATGTTTACACGTCTATAACTGTTGAACGCAATATCCAAACTAATCATGCATAGCGTTTTGTAGGTTATGTCAAGACCTTTCAAATTATGTATAGTGTTGACAAAAAAGCGGAAGGGAGATATTTGACAACCTTATATTATTACCTTCTGGAAGTACAAATTCTTATACGAAGTAATCTTCTTCTTTATTGGCGTTGTCGTCACATAAGTTATTGTAACCGAATCAATTTTAGCGCGCCATTCATCCCTTCTTTTCGCTGTTTCACCCCAGATGGAAATACCAAGTGAAACCAGGTTGCCTCTGCTTCCAGAAGCGGTTACTGCACTGCATACAAAGCTTGCTTTCATCCATTTGGATGACACGACCCAGCCAGCATAGCCGTTGTATCTTCATCTGCTGAACAATGCCAATATCATTCGATCGTCTGCGGTATTCGTTATTACCAATGCGTAAAGAACAATAAATCGGTAGCAAAACTTTTCTCTCGAAGACTTCCAAAGTCCCCTCGGAACTTTCGAAAATTTTATTATTTTTGGTTAAAATGAAGAAACAAGTGTATTTTTTAAGACACGTATATAAAGCCTGTACTCAGTAAATGTATTAATAACATAAATCTGTTTGTTTGATTGAAGCACACGAACACATAAAAAAGAAATGTCTTCATGCCTATAAATTTTTTAAGGCGCGAAATATTATTGCAACAATCAATTTGTGGATCGCTCCAAGTCGTACAACTCTTTCGACCTACTCACTAAATTGTTGGATGTGTAATTATGTATTGGAGCTTAATAGAGTTTTATGTAAATGAAAAAATTGTTCATGAACAGAGACAGAAAGCAGCGAAGACTCATGTATTTCAACAAATTAATAATTTAAACAAAAATTTGCATCTTATCATTTTTACAAAAGAAACTATAATATATAAATGAAACATTTAAGTAACTAGTAATTAGTAATTGGAATAACAAAAGTTTTTTGTTAATAAAAAATAGGTACCAAACCTTTGAACAATCACAGCCAGATGAAAGTTAAAATTCATAAGAACTCATGCAACAGTTCAATTGTCAATATTGGAAATGGACCGAAAAGGATAACTTGGGGCGTGTCTCATTTGCGACAATCATATTAATACTATTATTTGATATTGTGGACTATAGTGAATCCTCACATAACTAGTGATTTATTATTTTGCTACGCCCATTTAAAAGCAGGAATTTTCTTTTTGTAATTTCTTGCATACATTTCTACGATTTTATTTTGGTCGTATTTTGCAAATATTTATGTACGTGTATAGATATAACAAACATATTATGTAACAAATTCTCATCGAGTGCGCAAACAAATAAATTTTGAGTGTGTATAAAACATAAATCTATACAAAAATAAATACCTATCCCAACATAAATACATACTTATATTTTGGATATTATTTTTGTATATAAATATATACGAATACTTACTTACGTATATGTAAGTGCATTTTTCATTGAGGACAAGGTTACATCTTGAGTGTTGCAAAAATCCATAAAAACAGTTGGCAATCAAACATTGATTTCTAGCTCTTAAGATGCACATTTTTTTTATCTTATTTGAATCATCTTAGCAAAGTGGGAGTAAAATTCTCTATTTTCATTACAGTGAACTGAAAACGTAAAAGTGTAAAACAACTACAATAATTTTACTAACAGCATCTAGTGTACTACTGTAAGTTGTAATTGTAGTATTTGTTGACAATTTATGTTTAAAGGGATTTATAACAGTTGAAACATCCAACTTTTACATGCGCTGAAATATAATAGTGTTACATGCACTGGATACAAATGTTTAATTTATAGTTAATACTAGTTGAAAAAGTTCTTTTTAAGTAAGGTAACCTAAGGCAGGGAATGTCTATACTTCTTATAATAACATCACTCTGTTAGAAATACGAATCACTCACAATAAAAAAATTACCCAGATATTCCCAAAAAAAAAAACAGCACGATGGTTACATACCAGTGGGTTTGCCTTCATGTTTTGAAAATATTTAAAGTACATGTGGGTATTTGCTCAGATAAGATTCATGACGTATAACCTATTTTGTGTACCTAAGCCATATCTGTGTATGTTTTTTTAGTATAAAAGTAAAATTTTTATTAAAATACGTAATGTGTATACGATGTAGTGGGTGAAAATGTATTGTATATACCACGCAGGCGGGCTTATCCTCACCTTTTAACTGGTCGAGAAATCCGCTCATTAGCTTTAGACAATTTATCTCAATTCACATATGTATGTGATAAATATATGTATGTATGTATTCATTTAGAACAGCGCGATTGTACTTTTGCTTTCATTGATTTTACTTGACACGAAAGCAAGCAAAAAATAAGCATACGCGCACAAACACTAATATACCGTCAACGGCGGAAAATAGCTTCAAAATAGTGATCCTGAATTGAGTTTCAACTCAGTTGGGTAAAGTAAACTATTTTTTATATTATTTTTCTCTTAAAGGAATTTTTATTTCACGTTTGAGATGCTTTTACTTTCATTTAAAGTAGCGTAAAATTATGTACAAGTGTACATTTGTAACCAGCATTGAACTACTTTTGTGTATACTATAACGTATATTTTAATTTTTTTTTCCTAATTTTATTTGAACACTTTCTCGGAATTTAACAATATATACACATATCTGTTTGAATTTTTACAATTTTATAATCTCCATTCATATTATATAATATTATGTATGTATATTATTGCGTTTCACTGGTTAAAAATTGTCACAAGAATTTCAGTGTCACGATACTTTGCCAACGTTCGACTACATTCCGACTTTTCCGATTTTGCTATTACAGTTCACAGCCCACATCTCGACTGACTCAATTGATTCTGAGAATGTCCGATAAAACGTTATCGTGCATCTGTTGTCCTAACATTCGCCTTACATTATTTATTTGTTACTGCTATTGTCGCAGTTGCATTCATTAGTTCTGGTATTCTGCTAAATTAGGGGGATTTTTCCGCACGACACAATTATAGCGCAGACGCAGTTCAATTCTGTGAGAGATATCCTCTCTCAGTATATTGCCAAAGGTTCGGCTCGTTATTTCGTGTTGTACTTCTCAGGCATGTCATTGCTCACATTCCTATACACAATTTATATCTTATTGTAATAGTGCGAGGCAGATACCAAGAGCAAGTTTCAGCTGTTATTATTCCCATTAATAGTGAGATATTAAATTGGCAATAAATACTGGTTGTAGGCCAGAAGTTATACTCCTGCACTCACTTATTAATGAAAGAAATTGGTATAACTTCAGTTATTGACAAAGTGGGGTTAGTTCGGTCCTTAAATGACATTATTGTTATATTTTTGAAAATGATATGTAAAATTAGCAACAGTCATGGTATTTCACAACAAATAAAGAAAATTATATGAACTTTATGTTATATAACTAAATTGGTTAATGGATATAGGAAACTAAAACCCAAAAACAATTCTACAGAAGAATGACCTGAAAAGCATTTATAAATTGGTTAGTTTTCCATCTTTTGGAATGTTTTCTCTATTCTAATTAATTGAAAACCCCTCCTCTTATGGGGAGTTTTATGTAATACAATGTTTTACACCACAACGCAACATACACCCATCTACACATACGAGTATGCAAATATACTAGTACGAATTGATTTACAGCACGATATCTTCTTTCATCGACCTTCATGATATTGTCAAGAAGTGAATCTTTTGCAACCTCGCGTAGAAACAGAGAATTTATGAATGAGGAGACTTGTCCGTTAAGAGGTTTGTTTATGGAATCATCCCACAGAATGGAGTTTTCTCCTCTTCTTTGACGTACCATAGTTAAAATGCTGCTTTGCAAGCTAACATAATTGTATCTATATACAATGGCATACGCTGATGACACAGAGAAAACCAAGTTCTATGAGATATGCTCCGGAATAGCATTTATACTGTAGGTTGCAGGAAGAGTTAAACGCCTTGGCATAATCTTAAATAACAAACCCACCTATATCCGAAACACGGTAAAAGGAGTAGTAAAACTACTTAATAAAGGCGGAGATCGGTGAAAGATGCGGACGAGCGGACGAATACCATATACAGTGCCACATATTCGTATAAACGCACTCTTAACTTAATTTTTTTTAAGGGTGTGTTAATGTGTTGATCTATTTACATCCATCATCCAAGTCTGCATCGAATAAAGATGATGCCGCTTTGAAAAAATGTAGTAACTGCGAAAGTAACTATACTTCTAATTACAGCGGTTGCATTTTTACAAATATCTTACTCCAAATTCTACCATCAAAATATCAAAGAACTCTAATCTTTTTTTTTTGTTTTTTTTTTGAACACAATAGGTAACTATGCGCGTGGTAACGAATGAAAAACAAGTTGTTTAGCGAAAAATTAAGGCAAGGCGTTCCAGCTAAATGATGCAACTAATACTGTTATTGTGTCGGAATTAATCGAGAACGGACTAGATCCATTGAAGAAGGAAACATTACCATTGGAGCTTGTTAATGCGACAAAACAATCGTACCGTAGGAAATCCCAAGACGTACCACCTGATTATACCAAAAACGCTAAAAGATCTATTTACATACCTAGGAACCGAAGTAGGTAAAGACCACGCACGGGCATCTTTTTTACAGTCCAAAAAGTCTCTCACATCTTAAAGCTGCATTCGGACAACGAGACAGAGCTAAAGGCGAATTTAAGAAAGGGTTCGTAAAAGGAATGCGCGGGAGCGACAGCTACATATGTTTGACAGTTTTGGGTACTTAAACATCTGGTACTGTAGAACAAGTTAACCGCATTATTAAAGAAATAAGGAGGGAACTCGAATTCAATTAGAATTGCAGTGCAATACTTCTCGATGTAGCGCAAGCGTCTGACAAAGTTTGATGTAAAAGTCTATAGTAGAAAATTTACTAAACTTTACCTCCCCAACATTTATCGTAAAACAATCGGAATTCTCACAGCCGAAAATTTATTTATTTACGTATCCTCCGAGAAAAAATGTGCCTCGCCGCTGAAGAAAACTTTGTTCGAAAAATCGTCATCCACTCCTTTTTTCAAACACCCCATCGACGTAAATACAGCGTTGTCAATGGTCAGCTACCTTCAGCTGAACTTTATATGGATGTAGGTGTAAGTTCAATTGTAAATTATGCCGTAAAGTCACGTAAGGAAGTCCCAGCTCTTGAGAAATAGGCACATTCAGGTCTTGGGCTTCACTTTGACTGGCAGTAGCGATATTTGAGTTTGAACGAGAACACATTGTTGCAAAGTCCTTACAATATCTGTAGCCGATCCAGTCGCTTCAGTCCCTTCTTACTGCAATATTTGGACTATTGTGTGAACCATAATTTGTTTTTAAAGCACAAAACGTGTCCACGTTTAGCTAAAGGAAAACATGTCAATTCAGCTAAGTTTCACAAAAGACAAAATACTACACCGTACTTTAAAAGCGATTGGGGACCATCAAGGAATGGGTAGGGCAAACTGGAGAATTAAAGTCCATGAGCAAAAATGTAAACACGTTACATTTACATGACGCCCACAAACTTGCCCTTCTATCAATTAAATGGTATAAATATTCCGCAAGCAAACGATGTGACATATCTCGGTAAACACTTAGATAGAAGGCTCACCTGCCAAAATTTTACTTATGAACTTGAGCCATTGACATGAACAAGAGACTTCCCGTGCGTTGCAGCATCTTTAAGGAGGTCTTTGGAGGTAACGCAACTCTATACGGTAATCAAAATATTACAATATATTTTGACAGTCAGGCTGTTATTAAGTTCTGTAGTTGTCCGGGATTTGGGTCATTGGTCATAAAGACAGTACATGGAACTAAGGGGCTGACAAGCTTCACCAGACAATTTTGGTGATTCATAAAAAAAGATAACTAAATCCTTCTATGCGGACCTCTATAAACACAATAAAGGGCATAATAACCATTTTGGAACTATCGGTATAGATTCCCAACCTACTCTACCTTTTCACCACTCAGAACTTCTAGAGGGTATCCTAGCGTGGAAGCAAATATTGAAATTCATTCTTGGAATAATAAAGTATGATTTTTTTAAAGTTTTTATAATCTGGTTCAAGACAATCTGGTTCAGGACAATCTGGTTCAGGACAATCTGGTTCAGGATAATCTGGTTATGCATACAACGCTTTTTTATCCAGCCACCCAAATCCTTAATTCGTATAGCAGAAAATGCTGCTCAATCCGAATGGTCTGATGACAGCAGAATGGACAGAATGGTCCACATGACTACATTCGGTTCAAGACCCCACTTTCGGCCAAGATGTAATGTAAGCTTTCCTATTCTGTTTCAATGTTTATTTTCGCTGAGCCCTTTGATGCTATAATTATTCTGTTTTTAAGCATCGATTTTATCTATCCGTAGAGCATGTCGTATGTGCCTTCATGTGAAGGACGGAAGAAAGGACGTCATTGTGAATTGCTTGCGATGTACAATAATAAGTTTTCAATAAATGTATCCCATTTTTATGGTATCTGCAGTCGATGAAAAAAAGGTGAGACTTGTAGGTCAAAAATATTTGGAATTATCAATTGTTCTCCTGTACGGTGATGGTAGGACAATCAAATTGACTCTCATCCAGGTTCTTGGCTTTTTCGGTTTTTTAAAGCTTTAAGAAGTGGTCGGAGTCATTTTCCGATCAATTGTTAAATACTTCAATTCAGGGCTGGGCACAGGAATTGATTTGGGGGCTTAGAAAATTATCTCCATAAACAGTATTCGATGGATTTGTTTTTCGTTTAATAATTTTCAGAGCATCCTCCTAAGATAAACATATTTGGTTAAACAGATTTATCCACACATCATAAATTTATATGTTCTTTAACTTGTCTCAAACTGCATACTCTGAAGTGTAAAATTATGCCCTTGAGTAGCAAAAAAATTCTGATACAACAATTTTTGAAAGATTTCAATACAAACTGGTCCAATACTTGAATTTCAACTCGTCCTTCTTTTACAGAAAAAAATCACGCAACATTTACAGAAGGACCCATCATCTTTGGCTGAATAAGCTAACTGGGCGTATTTCTGCAACTAAGTTCTTTAGAATTTCAAATTTCGTGGTCCGGATGAAGGACACTTGAAGGTGTCGTAAGGAATCCAGATCTTGTCTTGAAGCCCAATAATTGAGTCTATGCCATCAACAGTTGATTTATAGATTGTCATATTTATGAATGGGTACTGCAAAATTCGACGTAGTAAATATTGTTGTATTTAACTCATAAGAAACGTAAATTTACCTTTCTTAAAGTTTGAGAAGAGAATCATATTTTCAATTTAGATTCGTCCCACTTACCTCATTGCACTCTTTCTGAAACCAGTTTGGAGTTTTTTTTTTAACAAATTGTAGATTTAATTATTAAAACTGAAGGTACAGTAAAGGTGCCCAAGTTCGGTAAGAATAAAGCAACCATTACACAGCCTGACAAATGCAGAAAGCGAAAAGAGCTGAAATGACCTGGTTTCAAAAATTTTCATATTCACTCTTTACACACGCAGAACTGCACTCCAAAGTAGATAATGGTTACTTAAATTTTCTTTCTTTAAAAACATCATGCGCCTTAAAAATCG